CTCACGTTACTTTGAGGGGCACGAGTGCCACAAAAATATCGGTCAAAGTTATTAAGGCGATTATAGCTTTCAGACTGAGATATTTGTTTTCATATTTTCCATATCAGCTCTGTGGATCCATCACGTTTGACTGGTATTAAATGATCCTCAGTGTTTCATTTCAAATTCATATTGTCCTGCACAGAGCAGTCCTGGGCAGCCAAATTCCTTCATTTGCTCATAAAACAACTTTCAACTACAAACAATTTCCACTATGCCTGACCCAGCCCTCACCATCATACTAATCATACATTTAATAGAACGTATATTTAGCATTTTATTAGGCTGTCACTATTAATGGTTAACACAATTATTACAGGGGTAGGCGTGTGGCCGCTTTTTATGTGGGTTAGTGCGTTGTTGTTTTGGGATCAGGGAGGAACAGGTTCAAACCCCACTGCAGTTCAGAATGAGTTGTGGTCCCTGAGATACTTCACCCAAATTGGTCCGTGGGGATATCCACAGTATTGAGTATCTAAGTCGCTTGGATAAAAGCGTCTAAACATGTGACATGTATAATGTAATCAGAGGACATCACAGCGTTAATATTTGTGTAACCTGCTGATCATTATGTTAATCACGGAATATATTGGTGTTTAACGCGGGATCATTTTCTTTTCTAATTGGACTGACAGCACCAATGTTTCTTGCATCTTTTTTTAAACTATCATTTATTTTTTATTAGATTTAATTCAGGATTACTCTCTAGCCCAAGCATGTCTGTCCATCTTTTACCATGGAATTTGCAAAGTTTTCGCATAACTGCCACGAAATGGTTGTTGTGCGAGAAAGCCATAATGTTCTCAACTGCCTTTACATATACTGTACAAACAATGAAACTCTACACAGATATGCACACACACACCACACACACACACACACACAAAACACACACACACACACACACCACACAACACAAACACAGCCACCAAGCAACACACACAACACAACACGCACGCACAATGTTAGACTAAACCTCCACACAGGCCGGTCATAACTGTGAAGACACCGGGATCGAGCAGATCCAGGGACAACACGTTTTGTGAAGATAAGGGAATTTCCTTTTAGATGTTTTATCATTTAAGTATTATTATGTACTGTATTGTATGTTTACTAGGAAGGGTCCGATTACAAACAAGTTTTATAACCTAAAATATTGTTGGCCACGGCCCTTCTAATATATTAAATATATTTGAAAATCCGCCATTTTGGCTTCATTGATTGAATTTATGGTATTTGCTTCTGAGTCGTCAATAAACACATCAAACAGCAAACGGCAAGTGTCATAGGCACCCCCAATAACCATAGCGGCTTTGAGTTGAAGACAAACTGTTTGGACAAAGCAGTTTTCTATACCAATTTTGAGTATTTCTTCAAGGGCCTAGTATTTTAATTGCCAGCAGAGTTTCTTTGGTCTTTAGGCACCAATTAATGGATTCCAGGTTCTTCTTCTGCACAATCGCATTGGTTTTTGTAACATTCAATTAAATTGAAGTTCAATCATATAACAAATTTACGCCCTCCCAGGGATTGCAATGTTTGCCTTGTTTGTGGTCAATTGGTCCAGGCTATTTTATGGATTTGCCATTTAAACATTTCAACCCTGCTCAGGAGTGATTGTGAAGCTTTGGGGTTTAACTGAATTTGTATTTAGCTGCATCAGCATTTTACTTGTCTATACTTTTTTGACTAGATGCTTTTGAAACTAATGGCCTCGATTGAACCAATCTTGCCGTCGTTGAAAACCAATCTGCCTCGATTGCCTTTCTATCTACTGCTGGAAGATAGGGGCCCCCATGCTAAAGGGGGCACATTGTCTTTACCCTGGTAAACAATCCACATGTTAGCAGTTGTCATTCTGAGCCATGTTAGCATTGACACCGTTGATTTTTCTTCCTCTGTCTTCGCAACTATGTCATTCCCAGCTAGCATATACTTTGTGTTAACTGTTAATGAGCAAAAACTAGCATTGTTAAAAGACTAGACTAAGATTGGGAACATTGGTAATCAGAGGGGAGTTAAGTCCTACATGTGCAATCATGAGCAAGTCTCAAGTCTGAACTACCAGCTATCAAGCAAAGTCCCCAAGTCACTGTGGTGAAGCAAGAAAGGTCAAGTCAATCAAGCATTGCTAGGTCAGCAAGTCAAGTCATTACGGACAGTTTTCTGAGAATCTAAGCCCCGTTTCCGCCTTTAAATCAGTTATTTATACACAGTATCATTTGAATTCTTTTAGACCGATGACACTCATATCAGGATTCAATATTAACCTAGACTGTAGACAAATTATACCAAGGACTGAAAAGTCTGTTTTCAAAAAGGTAGATTTCCAGGTAAGAAAATCATATATGGCATTTGCCATGGACAAATTTTATTTACATTCTGTGAACACTAGAAACGGCAAACGCGTCAGCAACCTACATAGATTTCATTTTCAAGAATCATTTTTATTTGTTTCTTTCATCATTTCCCTTATAAACTAATGAGGACGATTAAAACTTTGTCACTTAATTGGGGTTAATTTGTAAATGGCTTCAGTTTATCATCATAACAGATAAAAGTTCGATTCATTTTACAATAATTCAAGAAGATGCACTTCTACAACAAAACAACATTAATTAAAACATTTAAACAAACTACTAAAAGTAGATGAACTACATTACAAGGGGAAATACACAAGGGATCTTTTTCCTCTCTCTCTCTTCCCCCTCTTCTCTCTATTCCTCACTCTCTCTCTCCCCTCTTCTCTCCCCTCTCCTGACCAGCCTGTCAGTATCAGGGTTAGTCAAATGAATCCCTTGGCGGTTATAGTGTTCATTTTACCGTTTTGTCTTTCTTTGCATGGGTTAATCGATTTGAACCAAGTCTACGTAGCTTAATTAACGTTGCTTTCGTAGCTACAACACACACATTCACGTACCTTTCTCTGTGGGGTGTTTTTGTAGGAGAATGAAGGTTGGATTTTGTGGTGCTGGTTCCTGTCACTGGATTCTTTATTGCTCAGACCCTGCATACCGCTGTTTTCTTCTTATTACCGTTCATTGACAACATAATCCTTGATCCAACTTGAAGTATTTTTTGGGGTAAGCTAGCCGCTTGCCATGTTAATGAGACTCCTGCCTTTCTAGTTGGGTTGCCAGGTTTGCGCGCATTGGGCTATAATCACCCAATCACGTTTCGAAAAAAACTAACGTGAATATCTCCTACAAAAACAAACGCAAAATTATTTATTTTAAAAAGTCAGGTCATTTCAAGTCATCTGTCTCAAGCTTAAGTCAAGTCTCAAGTCATGAATACCAAGTCAAAGTCAAGTCAAGTCTTTTATCAATGTTAGTCAAGCAAGTCTCAAGTCAAAAAATATGTGACTCGAGTCCCCACCTCTGGTAAATACTATACCTGGTAAACACCCATATGTTAGCATTGTCATTTTGAGCATGTTAGCATGACTATTAATTGATTTAGTCTCTGTCTCTCCCCTCCTCTTCAGGCCTCTTCTGTTTAAAAATGTCCGTCAACCATTCATCCTCCACCAATGACTCCGTTTCTCATCAGTCCACCTCCTTGTTTGACTGCACCATTATTGACTACCTGCAACTCGCTATTACCATTACCAACATCATCTTCCTCATCCCTCTCTCATTTTTTGTCCTCCGTCTTGGATTCCAGCGTTGGAAACAACAGCGATGTGGTTCCTCAACGGCGGTCACAAATCTGTCTGACTTTGTCACCTACAACTTGGCTTTCCTGGAGCTGATTGGAGCATTAGGGGTTGGCATCGCCATTTCCGGCCACCTCATCGGTGACCCTGTGGTGGCCAAAGCTGGGTTACTCATTTGGATTTTCCCCTGGTATGGACAAATGCTTTTCCCAATCCTCTCCTGTGTGGAGCGCTACCTCGCTGTGGTCCACCCCATCACCTACCTGGTATTGAAACAGGTCTCCGGTGTCCGAATCAGAAACATCGCGACCGCCTACATTTGGCTGCTGTGCTTCGGGGGGCTGGGTTTCCATTTCCTGTTCAAGGAAGGCTCAAGGTTCACCTATTTACCAAGCACCTGCCAATTTGCAGTTAATGTGATCTCCCTTACTGTCAGCAGCGTTTCCGTTCTCCGCGTTCTGATTCGACCCCGGCCAGGGGAGGGGGGCGGGGCCAGGAGGCGGGTTAGCCAATCACAGAAGAAGGCCTACCACACCATCCTGATCATAACTGGAGTGCTGCTCTTGAGGTTTGGGGGGAATCTGGTTTGCAATTTGGTAGGCTTCTCTTTCAACAGTGCTGAGTGTGTGGTGGTCCTGTTTGCACTGCTGTTCAATGTGCCCAGCAGTCTGGTGTTACCGCTGCTGTTTCTGCACAGAGAGGGAAAACTACCGGGCTTCAAACACAACCCTGAATCACATTAGTGTGTGCAATCAGATTGTATATGAGACAAGGCTGAACTACACTAGTGTATGTTGTAATCATTACTAGGGAACTTCTTCTGCTTACGTTTAATGTCAAATTCCTGTAGAATTAGTGCCACCAAATGTTTATCTCAATGTTCCCATTTCCTGATTTTTAACAGAAATGGGTGGAAAACACTTTATGTATATTATGCAAAGCGTTCGATTTTGATGGAAACTTTGGCCATTAGGTACCATTATTAAACAAAATGTGACTGACAGGTTAATGGAGTTCGGTCTCTATAGGTCTATCTATGGAACTGCTACCTCCGCGACCCGACCACGGATAAGCGGGAGAAGATGGATGGATGGATGGTCTCTATAGGTCAACTTGTTAACGATACTAAACGTTGGCTTGATTTCAGATAGATATATTTTTGGAGCTTCATCTAAAACACAAATGCATTGTTGAATGAGAGTTGTATGCATCAAGACAACATTTGACTTAAAAACCAACAAATAACCAATTTATTTATTTCAAACTCTATGTAAATACATTTTCCTCGAGCAACGAGTGACTCCGCGCTCTGACCTGACTGTGAAAATAATGAAAAGAATACAAATTTGCATGACACCATTTACAGTCTAGAGTGACACGAAATCCATCATTTGTTTGACAATATGCAAATAAACCACAGTCCTGCACACAATAACACATAGGTATTAATAAATGAGAATCAGATAATTAGAGAGCACAGAGAGACAGATCATCAATAACACCGTGACAAGGTGAGTGTTCTTTAATCAATATAATATTTAATATAATTAAAATATCTGCTTTTCAATGTTTTGCCCATGTTTGTAAAAATAATTAATCATCAATACCATTTTACATATTTTTATAAACCTTAATTGACTAAATATACATATATATAAATATTCTGGAATTGTATTATCAAATGCTTGTATATAAGAATCTGCATAAAACAAGTAAAAAGCTGCTTCTATATACAAAAACTGAAACAAATGATGGTGTTTGTATGGTTTTATTGCTTTAATAATGTGGAAACGAAGGTAGACGTGATTTATTTAAACGCATAACGTCCATATTTTATACATAGGCATACGTTTTATACAATTAGATTAAATATATTTATTAAATGCAATATGATTAAACACAAAACATGACATATACAGTAAGTGTTTTGGTTAAAAAGCTTTTACATTAAGAATATATAACATAATTTAACCATTCGGGGAAATCTTTCAGTGCCTCTTCGGCTGCTAAATGGTGGAGGAAAAATCTTTCTCCTGTAACAAAATATCCTTTTATTAATAACGCTCTTGGTGTGCCACAGGGATCAATTTGAGGCCCACTTCTTCTGAAAATAAATGTGAATGTTTTAATTGTTGCATCAGTTAATTAATTTCTCGTTTCCATTTTCTCCATAAAAGCAACCAATCGAAATGTCCGACAACTCTTCCTCCAAGTACCACTGCATAGACTCCAAAGTGGCAATGGTCGTCTACATTACATTTGCCATCACAAAGATAAATAATATACCTTTATCTTAAGTCACTCCGACATCTTCACCTACCACCTGGCCGCCGTAGAGATGATCCATTATGAGGTCACTAAAGCGGGGGTGTGTGTCGGTTATATCATTTTCTTTGGACAGATTGGCTTTCACACCCTCACCTGTATAGAGCGATACCTGGCCGTTGTTCACCCCGTTGTGTACATGGGGCTGAAAAATGCACGTGGTGTCAAAATACTAAATATTAGCATAGCGTGCGTTTGGCTGCTGAGCTTTGCATTGAGCGGTGTAACATGTGGCTCCGGTTTGTCCAGTGGGCCAATATTCAGCTCATTGGCCGTCACTTTAATCACCCTGTCTTTCTGCAGCCTTTCTGTTCTCTGCAGTCTGATTCGTCCAGGGCCAGGGGGCGGGAGCAGGGAGTGCGTTGACCAATCAAAGCAAAGGGCTTTACACCATCACAGCCATACTGGGCGTGATGTGGCTTTGGTTTGCAGGCATGATCTTGAGTCTGTCTCTGGGGAAATCTAAGTTGCTGAACACCGAGGTTGGCTGTGCGCTGGAACATTCTTCAAACTGGTTCAGTCTGCCCAGCAGTCTGGTGCTGTCGCTGCTGTTCCTGCACCGAGCCGGAGAACTCTTCAAACACCAATGGGATCTCTCGAATGGATTTGGGATTGGATTAAATGTTTATGATTCTTAAAGGTCCCCTATTATGCGGTTTTTCATAAATATATTATAGGTCTCAGATATATACAAAACATGTCTCTGAAGTGTTTTATGTTAATGTGCTACATATCCAAACAAACAAACAAAGTGTGCAATCCAATGAATGTTAATCTAACTGGGTTTTGATAGATAACGTATCTCTTTTTCTTCTCTCAATTATTTTATTTCTATTGTGCCCTCTAATCAATATTAATCAAACTATTGTTCGTTTATACATTTTAAGAATGGCGTTTATCTTTTCTGAGAATGAGTTCTTATTGTATTTTATTTATTTGGCTCTACAACAGATGATACAAATGTTTATGTCGGTAAATGTGTGGCGGGGGTGTATGTAAATGGTAAATGGACTGTACTTATATAGCGCTTTATCCAGTCTTTAAGACCCCTCAAAGCGCTTTACATACTACATGTCATTCACCCATTCACACCCATTCATACAGAGCAGTGTACCTTACTCTAGGACCTAACATTCACACACATTCACACACCGTTGGCCATGCCATCGGGAGCAACTCCGGGTTAACTATCTTGCCCAAGGATACATCGACATGTAGACTGCATGGGCTGGGATCGAACCCACAACCTTCTGGTTGAAAGACGACCACACTCCCTCACAGCCACAGTCGCCCTTATGTGAAAATAACGGGGACAGAGCTGGCGGAAAGGACGTCCCATTGCTCTTAAAACTAATTTCCCTGCTTCTCGTGGTTTCCTTGCGTCTCTCCATGCTTCCCTGGTGGGAGGGACTAAACGCAGGGAAACAACGCAAGTGAGGGACGCAAGGATTTCATTTAACCGAAGTGAGATGAAGCCAAATAATCAGCACTTTTGAAACAGGTCTTAAACAGAGGGGATTATGGGATGCTACAATGCATGATCTGTTTGGTGTTTCGAGCCAAACACTTCAGAGACATGTTTTGTATATATCTGAGACCTATAATAAAGTAATGAAGAACAGTATAATAGGGGACCTTTAAATCATGACACATTCAGAACATTCAAAATCAAATTTTCAACAGGAAATACATTTACTTTGCAAGAATATGAGGCAATTCTTATTCTTATTTCTTGTACACAACTGTTGACAGGTTATGTAAAAATGTTCCCTGTTCCAAAGGCAGCAGCTGAAAGACAGGTGTTCAACTCTCCATCCTTTGATTTGAAATGTGCTGTTACGTTTGGCTCATCCAGTGCTTGTCTTAAAAAAACCAGCACCAGGCTTTTGCGGAAAAAGAATCACAAAATGCTGAAAACTGTCTCTGGTGTGCTTGTTGATACCAAGCTTTTCTGCTTCCACAAAGCCTCTGTTTTCGAAAAAGCTTTAAGGGGGTGATCTCCAAGAGTCAGACGAAACACAGGATTTCAGCAAGTTTCTGGTCATCCTCTCGGTCCATCCTGATGTAAACAAATAATTCCATCTCCTCCTCAAACTAGAACAAAGCACCAGCCTAAAGCATCCTCAATTGTATTACACAATGTCAAAGTGAGACTTTACTGTTTAAGTCATCGTCTTTTTTAACTAAACATCTGACGATATGCATCACTACACTCACAAACATAGTGATAAATATTTCAGGGTTTCCAGAAATGTGATTTCAGCTTACAGAAGGGTATGATCTGACTTCAGGAAGGCAATCTGAGAGCATGAATACATTTATGTTGTGGGTATACTGTATATTCACATTTTTCAATTGGAGTGCTGCACACTGACACACCCAGCTATGGAAATTGATTGCCAATGCATTTTGAGTAAACGAGTGACAGATTTTAGGAATTACATTTGAAAAATAATAAAAAGTTTACTCACACAGGGACATTGTGCCTTCTCTTTGCCTTCATTGCCCTTAGGTTATACAATTGGGTCCTAAAAGTTTTAAACGTTTATCTGGCACACATGGTAGTCATTTGAATATATATATGTTGGGGTTATGCATAAAAAACAGGTTAATTATACAGAATGAATGTGGTTAAATGCACTATGGGAGA